TTCTAAATGACATTCCTTGCAGGTGCCTAAGGGTTGTTCATATGCATCTTAAGAGCCCAAATAAAATATACACTATTTGGCACTTTGACATCATACTCGGTAATCGTCCAATAATAGGAAGTAAAATGTTGTTGATATAATTTGGAGGCTAAACCAGGAATTATACAGACCCACCTTTCCATGGATAACTCAGGCAAGTGGTACTGGTACTGCGGAACAATCTCCGACACCCTTCGCAACGATTTAGTGCGGATAAGCGGCAAATACGAGTCAGAATATGGCCGACTGGGACTTTATGCTTATGTGGAGGGGGTTCCTAGCCATGGTTCTCTGGACGGAAGAAGGTACAATATGAGTAGATTCTTCCTCGAGAACTCCCGGACAAGTATTCACCACATGAAAACGGATGTGAATGGCACGACTGCTCGTCCTAAGTCCTAGGATTCATGCACTTGGGGCGAAATACAAGATCCTTTAAAGCCCAAGCGCTCTTGATTACAGTTCGCCCATTGATCTGGGCTGTCAACACCGCGTCCAGTATCACATATCTCCATGCACACATCTATTCTGCGAATATTTTGTATGGCGGTCGCGATGCTTGGATTTCACGTAGCAGCAACGCCTCCTCACCCTCCGCCAAGTCTCTCTGAAAGTGTACCCTCAACAAGACTAGAGATTTTGTTAAAGCAACGCTCAGGACAATATATCGTCAAGGTGAGAGTCTAGACCATCATAAAAGTGTCTAGGAAGGATGTCCGAATTTCTCTATTTGCTAGACTATCTGCTGGACCGCTGCGTTGGCAGAGCTCGTCGTGATCATATCTGCCAGGAACTCAGAGCTATGGCTCTGTCAGAAAGCTTTGACAACTCTGACCGCTCCGGGAAGCCAAGAGAAAATTGGTCTATCGCCTTTGTTTTTACTTGGCACACTCATGACGAGTTCAGGAGGATATATCCGATGGTCATGCTATAAAGCATTGGGGAAGCTGTTCACATTTGAGATGTCTATCCGTGACGAACACAAACTGGTCACCACTGGCCCATATGGGATGGTGAGGCACCCTGGATATACCGGTATTTTATTGGTGGTCGTCGGTATCATTTTTTGCCATGCGAGCCCAGTAAGCCAGATACATCTAACGAGCAACGGAGGTGCAGACTCAAAATTATGGTGACAGGGTTCATGGGCAAGGGAAAGTGGCATATTCCAGAGTGCCTTGGGAAGAATCGCAACGTTCATATATCTGGCACTGACGATATCGATATTGACTGGATTGATTTCACGAATGGCGTCAGAAGATGCAGCCCTCCGCAGAGTGTTCGGTGTGCAATGGAATCAATGGGCAGGAAGGGTACCATACAAACTAGTCCCTTGGATATATTAGTGTACAGTAACCGTTATATTCATATCATATTGAAACAATCGATATCATCGCCAGCGCTAGCCAGTATGATTATATCCACCATGCTAGAGCTTTATATATGATATGTGCCTACATTATGCCATTAACCCAGGAAAGATCGCCAAGAGAAAAAATCGACGTCACAGATGTAAGTAGGATCGGATTGATCGAACATCAATGCATCAAAGTCAAATGGTCGGCAAGAATTCCTCGACTGTTTTTGAGTTCATTCAATTGAAACCCAGTGAGCGGCTGTCGCGCGAAAGAAGACCTACTTAACGCATCGATCAAAGTTTGGGCATGGAGGTCGCTTCATTTTTACAAGATATAGGGAATGAAAGCGAGCTGGAGTGTTTGTTAAATATTTCCCGTAGACAGGCTGATTATTGAGCAATTCCGATGGATGAAAATCTGAGGCCGCAAAGAAAGACTACAAAGTACCAAAGCATTTCCAGCTAGCAGCAGACATCGCGCCTGACAAACGCACCATTCTAGGATCTTAAGAGCTTGTTGAGAGCTTCAAGTTAATTTTACGTCTAGATCAAGCTTCTGAGTTCACAAGCAATTCTCTTGGAGTACAGTGTTTGGAGATGAGAGAGTGGAATGAGCAAGAAAATAGTCATTGCAACGATTCAAATCAAGAACATGACAGAGTCTCAACCGTCCCGTGATTAGAAACATCTTCCAGACCGGTTGCGAAGGCTATGTCTACTGCTTGAGGCTCAAAATTTCGTTCTAAGATGGCCCAGCATTCGAATATAATAAACACACAGGGAAAAAAAGTCACCACTAAACCTACAGAAAACAATTTTACAAAGTACATGACAATCCGACAACTATTGAAACGTTGGTTGAACAAGGTATATGTATATAAGAATATTTTGAACCAGATATAAAATATAGATAGCGAAACGAGAAGTGAAATACAGCTAGGAAGGTGGATTTAAATGTCCAGGTAATGTGATGATAAGTTGGCCTGGGTTTCTTGAATTAATCTCACATTTGATTTTCAACCTTTGCATCTCTCTAATTACGGCTGGTTTGAGAGTGGGTTGTTGATTGACCGAATGCAGCCCTTTCCCAACAATAACTTTCAGGACGGTCCGATTTTCCCCGCTGGCCTGGACGATAGCTCGTTCGATGCGGTCAAACGCTTCCCGCGGGCGAAGACCATGTACATCAATGTTGTGAGATTGAGCGTTCGGATTGCGAGCTGGTTAAGCATAGCGATCATTGTGAGGATGGAAGTTCGTTATAGTGAGCTAAGGCGACACATGACTCACCAGTATAGTATCTCCTCGCAGCTTTCTCGTGCAGTTTATAGGCTGCGAGATCCATGTCTCGGACCTTGATTTTGAGCATAAGCGCATCCATTATCCTTCCCTGTCGTTCTGCCAATTTCCGTTCCTCTTCCAGTTGCGCCCTCAGTTTTTCTTCTTCCCGAGCTTGTTGCCTGAGTGCGTCAGCGCGGGAGTATAATCTGTCTGGTACACGCGTCGAAAGAATGGATGCATCACTGGGATCAGACAAAATCGTAGAAGGCGAAGGTGGAGGTGAAGATTCTGGTGGAGGTGAGGAAGGTCGGAAAAGGGGACTAGAGTCTAGTAAGGGTGGTTGAAGCAAGAGATTCTGTGAAAGAGAGCCGGGAATTTGAAGATTGTCGGTATCTTCCAATAAATCGCTAGCCGCGTCTTCGGCGATCTGCTCAGGTTCGGAAGATGATGGTTGAAGAGGCTCTTGCATATCATATTCTTCATTATCTGGCAGAGCTGATCGTACGTTGATACCGAGCGGAGATAGCTCTCCTTCTTCTTGCCGCGAATGGGGAGGAGTAAACTGGTCCTCGTCTTGACGAAACCGTCGGGGAGTTTGAAGTGGATCTTCATCATGTTCGTTATCTGTCTCAACATCCAACCCATTTCGAAGCCCAGGAGTACGCAGTTCATCACTACCTGTATCTAGTGCACTGCCACGATCGGTGCTCCCTCCTTCAAACCTGATTTCATCAGGACCAATGGTTGGGTCTTGTTCTTCAGGAGGTATTTGCATTTGCCATAGCAAATCTTGGGAGTGAGCTCGAAAAGGCACCTGAATTGGACGTGCGGGTGACGTAGTGGGTGAAAAAGGTTTTCGAAAAAGAGGTTCGGGATCCCCTGTTATGGGTTGCGATTCGAGCCACCTGGATATACGTTGCAGTCCAGTATTCGAATCGATATCATGTGAATGGCTTTGCATGAGGTGGGCCCCGTTCCTGTTGGGGGTGCTGTGGTCTTCAGGGGAGGAAAGTTCGGGTATAGGAGCAAGGTCGGGTGCGAAGCCTAAGATTTGATTGTCGTATGCTTCATTACTTTGGACATCATTCAAAACATCAGGAGGATTGGCGCTTTGAGCACTGTCTGGAGGAGTTGGTAGATGAATAGGTACAGGTAGCGGTGAATCCGAATCCGAAGAATGGTTGAAAGTGGATGCCAAACCGGAACGAGGTCGAACGGGAAGGGCATCAGGTGGTGACGATTCAATTGAGTGCAGACTCTGCAAAATCATTGGTTTGGGGGAAGGTGAGACAATTGTTTCCAAAGTTTCCTGAAGGAAGAAGCTTGGGGGACTAGGCGGTTGATCTGATGATAGGATAGGTGTAGAGGTATTAGGAGGAGGGTTTTCTGGAAGGGTTGGAGTAGAACATGATTCGGGAGGTTTGTAAGCGCGAAGTCGAGGAGGAAAAGAGTTCGAGGGAATAGGAACCGCTGCAGAGGCGGTGCGTGAGTGCCTGTGTCGACGATCCCTTTCGCGGTCTCGTGTCTTGAGGGCGGAACGGAGTCTGTCGTAAGGGGTGATAACTTCTGAAGTAACTGTACCGAGGGTACTCCATAATACTATCACAAGTAGCCGTTGAAAGTCCTTCGAGATAAGGAGATCTACTGCGAGGCGCAGCCCATATGCTAGAAAATGGTCGAGATTTGGTGATGAAGAACGCCCTGAAACCTGATGCAACACCGCTCCTTCCCATATACCTAGTACTGCTGTCGAAAGTGTAACAGAGGAGATAGCAGCTGTATTGAAGAGAAAGATGCGCAGAGAAAGGCCCGCCAAGATGGAGAGAGCCACGTCCATTGGTAAGAGGAGACCAAAGAGTTATCTGTATCGAGACTCTTCCTCAATACACATTGCAGTGGAATGAGAGCGCGTGCTGCCCTCGTGGTCTGCAACTATTGTTGGAAGACGGTATCGCAGTGGGTGTTGTCTTTGAACCTATTCCGATTCAAATAGTTGTTCCAGTGAATGTTGCCTGCAGTCGTTGGGTGCTGCCCGTCGAAACTTGCATTTGAATATTTAGACTACAAGGAATGAATAAGGGCTCATTGTAGCTTAGTTCATGACCAACCTACCTCAATAACACTTATGCTCTTGGGAGAGCCTTCGCAAACCTCGTGGATATGTAGTGTAGTGCGAAATGAAAGTGAGAAAACGACAATTACTATTAGCTTCCAGCCTTCCCTCGAGGCGGACGCGAGGTGGGTCGGCACGTGTCAACGGACGAAACGCACAGATTCTACCAAAACTCTACAGCTTGAAATCAAATTTTGAAGCGGTTTTCATGGCGCCATAGCTAAGTGGTTACAGCGACAGATTAGAAATCTGTTCCTCTTTGAGGGCGCAAGTTCGAATCTTGCTGGCGTCGGTCGGGAGCTTAAGACGATGTTGCGTTATTATTTTTCTTTACTTTTTTTAAGGGCACACACAAATGGGCGAGCCAGGAAGTAATGCTTCCACGCCCGCGTCCAAGCAAGCAGCGACAAAGGCATGCAAATTAGCAGGAAATATTCCCCAACGGTCCCCAACTAGAGTATACAATTAGCAGTACAGCACGCTCCATGAGACATGAGAGCAGGTGCATGCCGATGGTTACCTTCATAAGGGCCTCCAGCAATACAGCCACTGCATGGACTTGCGACGCAAGGTGTCCGCCTCCGGACGTAGTTGATAATGATGATCGGCTCTTGGCTCGTTGCTCGTGGCTCGCTTTCTAATAGAGATGTTGACGCGACAGAAGTAGCATTATTTAATATCGGTAGTGATATACTATGCACGGGCGAGAATATCATGCTGCAGAGGTGCAGATGATGGGGAAGAAAACCAAGAGGCGATAAAAAAGATAGCCTTTGGACGTCTCTTCTTATCCTCTCGCATGTTGTTCTTGTTTTATCTTCCGCAATTTTAACCAAGGCTGCGGGCGTAAGTGCCAATGCCTTTGAGGGCGCGAAGGAAGTCCGGCGCAAGTCCAGCGTCAGATTGGGCTAAACGATGGTCAAGGACAAACTTTGCACCGTGGAGGTATGGATGTATGGTACTTCGTGCCTGCAACTCTCGGAGTATTTGCGGACGAGATGTTGGAAGGACACCATGACAAAAGATTGGTACGGGAGAGCTCAGAGGAATGTACACAGTAAGTGCAGTGGGTTGACCGAGAAAGTTGTACTTCGCGCGTGAAATGACGCGGCCACGTGACTGGCGCGTCTAGTTTCCAACATGGATTATGATATTCATCTCCTAACTTTGCTTTGAACTTTCATCATGGCCGCCAAACGAAAGGCCGTCCCGCGAACGGAAATTTCGAGCTCAAATCCTACAAACGAGCCTGCCGACCCTCAACTGACACGGTACAATCTTTCCGACAATTACAGCGCTTCCACGGACAACCCCGCGGATCGACTGTTACCAGAGCAGCGAGAACAAACGCAACCTATCAGTCTGTCAGACCCTTTTCAAGACGTTGCATCTTCGGTTGGAGAGCACTCTTCTGTTGATTCTTACCAATATTCTCAACCATCAACATTGGATTATGTACCATACCAGCCAGGACAACATCTCGCCCCAATCATCACAGGAGAGACTCTTCAACTGGATCCCGACTCTGCATTACAATCCACTACCCACTCAGATTCTTTCTACAGCCCTGCAACATCTCTATCTAGTGGTGCAAACGCTCTCCCTTTTTTACCAAATCAATATTACCAGGCCCAAGAGTATCATCCACCTTCAAACCAATCCTACACCTCTTCTTACGACCAACTTACACTGCCAGCAGGTTCGGAGATAGACCATTTTAACTATGACACAGAAGCATACGCATCCGGAAATTATTCTCGGGCCTCATATCGTCCACCACGATCGCGCTCACCGACTCCCGCAGTAGACGATGAAGACTACATGATTGTTGGCAATGAGTCGGTGCATTACACAGGCTATCCGGATGATCATTCTGACAACGACAACGACGCAACCGAGAAACCATATTATACCGAGCGTGGTTGTCTTCCAAATGGACAAAATGTTTTATACGATCCAGAACCCGAGACCCCGACATCCACTGTATATTCATTGCCCCCCGATGAAAAAACACGACACTTTGGACCAGCTCCTACCGGACGCGTCTTGAGACGACACAAAACGAAACGGCGGGTACAATTAACGAATGGTAATCTAGTAGTGGATCTAGACGTCCCTCCAAAACTTGTGCTACCCCGACGGGGCGAACCAGAGACAATGAAGACTCGATACACTGCTGTAACATGCGACCCTGATGACTTTGAGAAGAAAGGATTTTTTTTGAGGCAAAACGAGTCTGGAAGGAGGACAGAACTGTTTATCGTCATAACGATGTACAACGTGAGCTTTTTCTACCTTTTTATGTGAGGACCCAAGATATTCACTGTGTATCCGAATTCGAATGCTTCAATAGGAAGATGAGGTGCTATTTTGTCGGACGATGTATGGTGTAATGCGGAACATTTCCCATCTTTGCACGAGAAAAAATTCTCAAACATGGGGCCCAAACGCTTGGGAAAAGGTTGTGGCAGAATACTAGCTTAGTCCTCTTGTGTTAATGCCCTCCGCTTTAGGTTGTGGTTTGTATAGTGGCGGACGGCCGCAAGAAAGTCCATCCTCGAGTCCTCGACTGTCTGACTTTACTTGGTGTATATCAACCTGGCGATCATATGAAAAATAAGGTCAACGAGAAGGAAGTGACAGCACATCTGTTCGAATATACCACTTCCTTTGCGCTGGACCCGAATCTCCATTTCAAATATCCGGATAAAGGCATCGTTCCTACTCAAATCATTTTTTGCATGAAGGAAAAGAATCAAAAGAAGATCAATAGTCATAGATGGTTTTTCAACGCATTTGCGCCAATGCTACAAGTAAGTTTTCAATGATTATCAGTAGCAATGTTACCAATATTCTTTATAGCCAAATGTCTGTGTTCTCCTCGATGTAGGGACAAGACCAAGCAACAGCAGTATATATCGACTGTGGAAAGCATTCGATCTCAATTCGAACGTTGCTGGCGCGTGTGGAGAAATTGCAACGTATAAGGGCAAAAACTGGTCGCTTCTCCTTAATCCACTGGGTAGAGACTTAGGCCCTTCTTTTTTTTGCTTATAATCACCTTCTTATGATGTTTCTTCTTCCTGAAAAGTCGCAGCGCAAAACTTCGAATATAAGATAAGTTGTATCCTCGACAAACCTACAGAGTCGATGTTCGGATATATCAGCGTTTTGGTATGTCTAGCAGCACGTATGCTATCTTTCCCGATTTTCATTTAGAATTTCCCAGCCCGGAGCTTTCTCTGCATACAGGTTAATCTCGCTTCTCATGTTGTAACCCGTGCTGATGTGTGTGCTCTAGATATATAGCTCTGCAGAACGACGAATTTGGAATTGGTCCATTAGCGTCATACTTCAAGGGAGAAGTGCTACATGGAAGAGACACTGACATCTTTACCTCCAATATGTGTAAGCCTCATTGCACATATCCGTGCATTTGTCTGACTAGACGAAATACAGACCTTGCAGAAGATGTGCGTACTCATCTGTGTCCTCTTTGATCCTTTTTGATATTTTCTTCCTAGCGCATTCTGTGCTTTGAACTTGTCGCAAAAGCGAATTCGAATTGGTATTTATTTAATTGGTCTTCTTCGATGTGTTCTATGTTAATGGCTTTAAGGATCCTCAAATATGTCAAGGGAGCCGTTGGCGAAACGGATGTGCCTGATGCCATTCCCGAGTTCATCTCCCAACGCCGACGCTGGCTCAATGGATCATTCTTCGCTGCGACATATGCAATAGCCCATACTGGCCAAATATTACGTTCAGGACACAGTTTCTCTAGGAAGATGGTGCTCATGGCAGAAACGGTCTACAATATTATTAATCTAATATTCTCCTGGTTCAGCGTTGTGAGAAACCGTCCGATCAACTCAAACATATGTGTGAAGCTAACATTAAATGATGTTTCTGCGCAGGGGAATTTTTACTTATTTTTTGTAAGTTCCGTTTCCTCAAGTTGATTAAGCCCCGATTTCAACCAATCCTTAGGTTGTCCTTACAAGCTCCCTAGAAGATGCATCCTTTGGTGTGCAAGGCATCAAATACTTTAACACCCTGGTACAAGTAAGTGACCTTTTCCTGATTCCTTACGCGTCCGCTGATCTCATGTCGACCAGTACGTCATGGCCTCACTAATTGTTGCATGTTTCCTTTTTTCGATGGGGAACAAACCCGCAGCGTTCGTTATCCGCCACATCCTCTGAAGCAAGTGTCGTCTAATTGCAATGATCACAGGGCCAAATTCAAATACAAACTCACAACCATCATACTGGGTGTATTGATGATTTATATGATCATCGCCTCTATCGTATGCGCTATTCAAGCCGCACGTCAAGGAGGAGCAGCAAATTCAATCGTCCTGTTCAGCGTAGCCATCACCTACGGCCGTAAGTCTTTGCCCTTCGAACAATCACTCCATCATGCTAAGCCATTCTTTCAGTGTACGCCTTTAGCAGTTTCCTTGCCTTTGATCCATGGCATATGTTCACAAGTTTTATACCGTATATGCTTTTGTCACCGATGTACATCAACGTCCTAAACATGTGAGTGTTGTGTTTTTTTCGATTCGATTCGATTCGATTCCTCCTCTGATACCATCAAATATTAGCTACGCCTTCTCTAATCTCGACGATGTGCGCCTTATACCCTACACTTCTTGCCTATTTACCAAATTCTTGCATAGATTTCATGGGGAACGAAACAGGATTCCATTCCAGATTCCGACCTTGGAGCTGTCATCCAAGATAGTCACTCACAAGTGGACGTGGAAATGCTTACAGAAGTCGCGGACGTGAACAGCATATATGAAGAATCCTTGGCAAATTTTCGAGATCGCGTACCTATTGATAACGGAAAGGGTAAAGGAGTTCTCAGTGTGGTAGAGAAGGAACATGCGGCAAAGGATTACTACGCAAACGTGAGAACAAACGTGCTGCTTTCATGGGTACTATCAAATGTAGGTCGCCAAATTGCAAGTTGGAATCCCTCTTTAAATGCGTTCAACTAGGGATTTCTCCTTGTCGCGATTATGAGCAACATGAAAGAAACAGATGCTTTCGGAAGCAATGTTGGGATAACCAAGGTCAAGGCATACTTGGTATTTATCTTGGCTTTCACGGCGATAACCAACTCTGTGGTAAGTCTTTTATAACATTTCCAACTCTCCACAACGGATATTGATCTGTGCTTCAGAGATTTGTTGGTTCGACATTGTATCTTCTAACAAGATTAATAACTGGGTAACGTTGCTATGCAATATATAGATATTTGTAATTCCTAAGTATTATTATA